ATAACAACGTTTTCTCAAACATACTTATGAACTCACCAACATTATATATGTTGACCGTTTTCAAAATAACTTGTATTCTCAGGTAATCGTTAAGCTGGAAGATATGCAAGTATGTATGGTTTTATTTATGTAATCTCACTTATCGTACATGAACAATTAGAACTTATGTATTTGAACAATGTACTTGATGTGAACTATGATGGTTGTATTATGTAATGTTGGTGATGAATGTGCTACGTTTCATGTATATTCATTGTGATGATTATTCAATTGTTAGTCACACGAACCCCAGGACGTTTCCGCCGTCTGGTTTGGGGGTGTGACAAAGGGGCATTAGTTGCAAAGCTGCCCTAACTACCTGAAAGATCTGAGAGAAGGTCTAGTCAGAAAGTTTGATTTTGCTTCAAAATCAAGCAAAAGGAAGGACACCTAAAGAAAGAGTATGTTGAATCTGATCGTGAAGATGGATTTCAATCGCATGGTTCGAAGATCGGATTCTTGTGCTACTACTTAGGAGTTTTGATAGATTGCTAGGAAATATGTAATAGCACAGTTTTCAATTAAAGTTGCATTGTAAGGAAAAAGTTTTTCCGCATTTTATAAATAAATAAAATTTTGATTTTATTTTAGTTTATATCTCCTTGCAATGGCTCTTATGGAAAAATTGATGTTTATATGTTTCTAGCAATAATGGAAATATGAATTTGATTCTTTCATTTGTGGTAGTGTCTAAATTTACCAAATAAGGAAAGATTCTCATCACCCAAGTTTTCAGTAGGATAGAAACTTAGAGTCATCCAAGTTGTATAGTATGATGAATGACAACTTTCAGCTTTGGAAAATTAAGACTAATTCTTTGTTCCCATGTATATGTGAGTTAAGTGAAGGACTAAGGGATCGAGTACACATTCTTGTGCACTGGTCAAGTCCACCACAAAAGATTGATAAGATTATTCGTCATGATTTACCAAAGTTTAGTAAATACTTACAAGTTTAAGTATAATTCTGAAATATTGGAAAAGTTTCAATGTATGGCAGAACGAATGAGAAAAATCAAATTAGGCAGAAAGATAAAAGTTTCTCAAATTTGAAAAGATGGGAGAGTACTTTAGTATCATGTTTTGTGATCATTTTCATGATTAAGAAACCATATCACAATTGGTCCTCTAAGTGCATTCCTGTGGCTAAGAAGAGGAATCAAGAATTACTAAAATGGTTGAATCAAGAAGATGATTCGTACTTCGTTCCAAAACAAGTATTAGAGTCATACTCTAAGACTATAAGTTGAGTAACATATCTTAAAGAAAGGTTTATAACACTTGTCAAATGTAAGAGTAAAATTTGTCCTACTTTTGTACATTTGAAATTGCTAAGTTGTGATGTTTTAGATAAAAAAATACCAACTAAGGCCAATTGTGTGAAGTGTTTGTCTTGATAAAGAATCCGTACTATCTCTTGAATATTTGGCAAGTGAGTCTTATATGTCAAGAGGATAGTGGGAGTCTTAAAGATCTTGAAAAAGCTTCTAGATCTAATCATGAAGAAAAACCTATAGTTTATCACTAGCACACAACTTGAGGTTTATAACAACTTGGAAGCAATGGTAGGCCCTTGTGCCCATTCCAGTCAAAGTTGGCTTTGCATATGACTTTTGAGAGTTCTCAATTGGTTGCATAACAACTTGGAAGCAATGGTACACTACAAGAAAATAGCCCTTTAATGACGCGCAAACAATGACACTCGCTGATAGACGATGCGCATTTGTAAGTGCCCTAAAAGATAATGTCAGTTTTGCAAAATTTGAAGGATAGAGGGCACGCATTTTTGCGCGCCGTAAAATTAGTGTCAGAAAAGAAAAAAACGAAATGCGGAGGGCACCTTTCATAAAATGTGTGTCATGTGAATGTGTCGCTTTATAATTTTAAGTGAAACACGCCTTTTAGGCGGGAAATGAAATCGACGAAAATTACCCCTGCCTATTGAATCCCAAAATTAATCCCCCCGCCTCTTCTACTTAGCAAGAAAAAGCCCTAGGTCCTTCATCTTCATCTTCAGTATCATCAAACATCTCGTTCATCGGATCTCTACTCGATCTCCTTCTTATCAGTATCACCAAACAACTCATTCACCACCTCCGCCCTATCTATAACAAATCTCTCTCTCTCTCTCTCCCATTAACCACAACAAATGGGAGAGAGAGATGATTTCGATAATGTATCAGTTCGTCCGATTGGATGCATATTTACTATTAAATTTGGGGATTTTCTTTTATGCATCACTACCCTGTTCTATTTCAATCATTCCAAGTTCATCGTATAACAAGGCTTCGTTGGTTTTATTAGCTAATGATCTCTTTCTAGATGTTAATCGATCTCCAGTTAATTCGTTCACCCCCTTTTTTTAGGGTTTTTTGCTCCCCACACTTCCTTCTTCGTTCTAACCTAGATGCAAAAATCGATGAAACATGCGTTTTCCGACCTTTAATAGCTAAGATGGAAACGAAATCCCCGAAAATTCGAAAACCCCGCCTTGTTCTCCTTCTTTCTACTTTTATCTTTTCGGCTCTTCACGCACACAAAGATGACGATAAAATTAAGGGAACGAAGATTGGAGAGCTTCCACCAGATACTCATTCACATCCCTATTGTGCGATTCTATTAGAAAAAAAAATCAAGTCCACAATCGAAGTAGGTCGTCCAAGGTTTTCTAACCCTATATTCTTGTGAAATTTCAAGCACATCTCTCTAAACTGGGACGAGGATGGAAAAATACGGGTTGAGCTAACAACTTGAACATTCAGGTCCTGTTTTGATTCTTCGTGATCTCTCTCTCTCTCTCTCTCTCTCTCTCTCTGATATTAGGGTTTTTTCATTTATAGAGCAAGTATTTTGATGAATGGCATCCTTAAAATCAATTTTTATAATCACTTGCTGGCTGACTTGTGTGAACTGTACCATATTTTGAGGTGTTATTCTCATCTCTTTCATCGATAAATCTTTTTACAGGTTCATGTTTTCATAAATTTTGTTATCAAAGCAATTTTTGAGTGTCAGTGAGATTCATCCATCAACTGAAATGGAAAAATCAATTTTTCGTATGTGGATTGTAATTCATTAATTTCTAACCACATGGACCGATGTTAGTGTAAACTTTTTATATGATTATGTGGAACATGGATATGCACACAATGCGTTTGTATAAATGCTCAAAAGAATCTTTGAGTTGTCATGGGTCTGTCTCCTGTTCACTGTTGAGGTTTTTCTTCTTTTTTAATGTTGATGCTTACTCATTTGGTAGATGACTGCCAAATGTGCTTGAACATACCTTTCATGTTCACCTAATATGGAGATAGCTTTTAACCTCTTTCTAATATTTTATTTATCATATCCATCTTTTAATAATGATTTTATATTTATAATATTAGATGTGTGATTAAGATGATAGCTATCAAGCGTACAAATGTTGAGAATTTGAAAAATGAATTTCATTTAGCTAAAAGAACAGTAGAGGTTAACTTCCATTTCCAAACTTTCAACTCATACTTCTTTGTTTACCACTACATTCCTTCACTTGTGTTATTGGATTTTATTATAAAGTAATCTTTAGCTAAGAATATTTATTTTTGTTCTTTTCAATGTGATCCAACATAAAAGAAATCATGAGATGCATGTTGCAATGTTGGGCTAATGACAAGTGCATATGAGTATATACTAAGTCTGGTTCAAAAGTAATTACATATCATAACTTGAAAGTAATATAAAAAATGAAAACACTGAATAGCAAAGAGTTTACGTCATCACTCATCTCCGCTGAAAGACAGTCAGGTATAACTAGAAAACTAAGTAAATTAAGTTAATGAATAAAGCAAAAAATGTTATTTTTTTATAAAAATAAACTGTATTCATCTAAAGTTTATTGAAGGTGACAACTAATAGAAATGATCTGATTGGCAATGGCAATGATAGCTTATGCTACTACTTCTATCCTTAATTGTTGTCCCATGGATGCTGCTACCCAAGCCTTTCAGTTTAAAGGCACATCACAACAAAGTATGTCATGTTCTTTTTATTGTTTTAACCATGTTTATATTTTTTGATTAATATTTAAAGACCATATTATATATTTTATTTAATGTTCCAGGCACACCAAGGTGATTCCTATGTGGCACTTGAAGGGACAGATGAGTCATTAGTGGAGGGAGGTCATCATGGCTCCCATGATCATGAAGAACTGTTTGAGATCAATGAAGTGTTTGTTCATCAACTTATTCATAAAATTATGATTATACTTGGGGCAGTGTCAAATACTTGAGAAAATGATAAGGTTATATTCGTCTATTTTTTTTTTGTTTCAGGTTAAGGTTTGAGAAGCTGGGACAGATTAGGGGTGGGGGTGGTTGTAAATGTGGTGAAAAAGCCGGGCCTCCCAGAAGCTGGGACAGATTCGGAGAAATCATTCTTGTATAAATCCAATGCCTCGAGCTTAATCATAGATCCAACAGAAGCAGGAAGCCTTCCAGACAGATTATTGTGTTCTAAATTAAGAACTTTTAGTTCTTTGAAATGCCACAAACAGTCTGGAATTTGTCCGCTTAGATACTTATGAGAGAGGTCAAGTATAACTAAAAAGCCATGGATAACCTCACATAAAAAGGAGATTCCTCCAAAAAAATTTGTTTCTGGAAAGATTTAGTAATGCCACAGTGGAAGAGACATTAGTTATTAGACCATCAAAGTTGTTGGAGCTTAAACCTATCACTGAATTCTTGTGAAATATTGATGACAGATCTGGTACTTTCCCACTTTACAAGCCCCAAAACTCGAGAGGAATAGTATCTGAAATACCATTATTTGCAATATCAAGACTGGTAAAGTTTTTCAAATTTTGAATCCTGAGCTTCAAAAACATTTTCCTCAAGGTCTTCCAAAACTTAATCCTGTCAAGGTAACTTTATTTGCGTTTTACTGACCTTTTATTTTTCATAACTAATTCAAAAATACATGACTTCTGTTGACATGATATGGGCATATAAGAACCTCAGTTTGTGGACCTGGTAAATCAGATTGAGAAACTTGAACAACAATTGATTTCTCACCCATTAAACAAGGTATGAATTTTTGTTTAATGTTTTAGTTTTAATTAAATCAAATTTCATGATTTGTTAAATGTTTCAGTCTCAAGATGAAAATCAGATCCAATGAGACGAATGTCAAACCTTTGCCCAAGGAGTTAATTGATTATCTACATGTAAGTGACCAGGACTTCAAGGGAGATCTTACTGAAAAAATTTGCTCCATTGTAGAAAAGTAAGTTGAAGGTTTCATTTTTATCTTTTAATTTGGTGAATGTAATATTGTTATAGCATATTTGATGATTTTCAAAGTATCATACACACAATAACATTTCTTGACTGGTGTTGTAGGCTTTCCCCTGATAAGATTTGGTACATTGATCAGATACTCATGGTTCTTTCTGAGGTATGTATTATGGTAGTAGGTTCTTGTAAATGATGAATTTCATTTTCCATGCATTTCTAGTGACCTCTAAATTGTTATAAAAACCTTGGTGGAATGGAAGTTATTAGTATGCTACTAAAGACTTATAAGGGACTCCTAATTCTTGTTTAGGGTTAGTTACTTATTTATACAACAATGTTTCACATTTGTTCTGATTAATAATGTTTGTTGTTATACATAATATGCAATGGTGTTTCAAAATAGGACAATGGTTCATGCAACCTACTATGACTTATGTGTATGATGTGGCATAAGTTTTTAAATTTTTTTGACACATCAGCTGCTTAGTTGTATTTTAACAGACAGAAATAAATGATTTATGGCATGTCAATTCTCGACTCCACTTCATTATGCAAGATGATCACCATTGGTTCTACCATTGTTATTGGATATTTGCAGAATTGGTTGTTTTAGGGAAGATATCCTACTATTTTTTTTCTTTATTATTATTTTTTTTTCTATTTTGTGACATGGATTTTTTGCGGGTTAAGCGATGAAGCGATATCTCACCTCATATGAACCATAACCGATATGGGAGGTTTGTTAAGTTCATTTTGTTTTCTGATGCAAAAAAAGTGGCTAATATCTTTGTGTTGTGCTGTGGTGTAGCGTTTTCAATATCTATAATTAAGGCAGAGCAAGCAATTCTGCAATGCCTCGATGTTGCAGCTAAGGCTCCGCATTGGCCTATTGGTGTTGATGGTTAGTAATTCCACCTGGCCTCGTTAAGGTAACAACATATCTGTTGTTCAAACTTCAAAACCCTACTTGAATTTATATTCCATTCATCATCTAGAAACTAGTTTCTATTAGAAACCATGTTAACTTAGTCAAGTTAGTTGGCTTAATTACCCTATGTAGAAGGAATTCATATGAACAAAAAATTTCATGAAAATGCTTTTGTCTTCACCTTCAGTTTAGTCACCGGTATGTCAAATGACAAATCTACCCCCATATGAGGCCTCCCCATGTTCCCATATGCATAGAAAAACATAATATATTCAACAGGGAGCTTCAGTACATGAGCAAAGTGAGGAGACATTATCCCTATCAACCCTACAAATAGTAACATTATTTCTACCAATAATGCCTTTGGTGTTGGTCAAGCTCATAGATAATAGCCTTCTGGACATGTATCTCATCATATTACATCCTCCAAATACTACCTTAACATATATTAGTTTTTTTGCAGCTCTCAATCTGATCTGGAAGCTAATTTGTTTAAGGTATATATATATATATATATATATATATATATATATATATATATATATATATATATATATATCCCTGTTATCTCCATTATAGCCATGTCTGAGTTTTTACAGTGTACCCTCCACATCCTTATCATTATAAATACTATGTTTTGTTTTGAAAATGAACTTGCCTCTACAATGGATGTTGCTCTTGGGATTTTGATTATTGAGTAAAGACTTGGAGTTGAATTTTAATTAAATCTTGCAGCATTATCAGCAAGATGCAGTAAAGACTTGGAGTTGAATTTTGCTAAGTCATATAATCAGCTGCTTGGAGCATTAGTCTTAAAGAATTATGAAAGGCAAGATGCAACTTTAGTTAGTTGGAATTCGATGTACATAGTAGATTAGATGCAAATTTATATATTGTAAGAAATAGAATTGTATGACATTAAATATATGCAATGGATTCTATTTTTTGTATATGATATTTTATTTTCTACTATGAAACATTAAATATAAATTTAATTTGAAAATAAGTAAATCTATAAATAATATTTTTTATTAAACATTTAAAATTATGATATGCAAAAATGTGTGTCATCTTCATTTATGACATGGCCTTTCTTGACAGTGGCTTTCTTGATACGCATTGCGTGTCATTAACACACGCGTCATAAGGTAACGACACGCGAATGCGTGTCGTCTTCCTTTATGACAGGGCCTTCCTTGATACACATTGCGTGTCGTAAGCGCGCATCGTAACTGCGCGTCGTAAATGAGCGTCGTCTATAGCGCATCGTCTCTCATTATGACAGGGCCTTCCTTGACGCGCATTTGCGCGTCGTCTGAGCCTTTTATGACACGCAATGAGCATCGTAAAAGGCTATTTTTCTAGTAGTGGTAGGCCCTTGTGCTGCCAGGTGGCAAGAAGTTAAGACTGCACAAGTTCAATCCATAAGAGTTTGGATTTGTCACTAACCATGTCTTGTGATTATGGTTTTGACAAATTCACATGGATAGGAACACATACACCAGAAAATCTAAGTGTCATAAGGTTTCTCTCCGATTCATGAAAATGATGGTGAGGAAACGCTTTCACTAAGCAGGTTTTAGGTAGATAGCAAGTGTGTTTGCATTCTCAAAGTCGTTAGTGGAGCGTGTGTGGTTAACTGGCACACTAACATGGACTTGTGAGGAATGTCAAAGGTCAAAACAATTGAGACTATGATTACAGCATCCCTCTTCATAGTTCTAAAATTGTTTAGACACACATGTGCACTATCTAGGGAAAGGTGTATGATTTTGATAAAGTTTTATCAAAGCATCTCATATCAGAAATATGAACTTTGGTAAGAAGATCAATAAACTATTGATTTCTAAAAGTCTAGCTGATTTCTGAGTACATGTCATAGCTAGTGGTAGCATACCTTTTATGCTAATAATCATCATGCAAGTGGGAGCATGATAATTATAATAAGTGTTGCAAGTTAGCAATGTTAATTATAGAAAACAAAAGGTTTCAATTGGGAAAAAGGTTGCTTTGTTAAAATTAAGGGAGAGGAAATTATACTTCATTTCAATTCTAGAAGCTTAGATTGAGGTTTTAATCATCTTTAGTCAAGTATGTGTATATATATATATATATATATATATATATATATATATATATATGAATTTTATGTTGGAATGGCTCAACATAAGGAAATTTTATATATGGGTCCATTATTTGCGTTCTAAAATTCGATTAAGAGTATGGCGTCCCTTTTCATAATCTGAATTATGAGCACTTGGCAAATAGAAATAGAAATATTATAGCAAAAGACTGGTCCAGTATCATGTCTTTATGAATCGTGTCCCATGTGTTTCGGATATAGGATCGATTACATGTGCTATTGTGAAAACCCAAAATTTTCATTCGTATAAACCCTACAGTCCAGAACTTCAATTAAAAGTTAAATACTTTTCTGCTAAATTTTAGCCGGTTTAAAGTCTATTTGAGTATTTTTATTAATTATTCATGAAACGAACGGACAAAAGGAAGTGATTTCTAGAATATCGGGATAGCAATGGACCAATCAGCACCTAGGATTGGTGTTCACGGCCAAACAAGGAGGGTTTGGGCCGTGAAATCTCTTAGGGTTGCAAACTCATGCCTTAGGCATGAGTTTACTCTCCATTCTTTCACTTCCTCATTTCCAAACTCAAGAACACTTACCATTCTCTCTCAAGTAGCATCCCGTTCGTCACCCGATCTTCCGAAAACGTAAGTGTTGCTTAACTTGATTTGTTGTTATAACCTAACATCTAGTGTTTATACATCATTTCATCCATTCATTCTTGATTTTCACTTAGATCTTCAAGTTTTCTTCAAAACACCAAGAACACACACTAGTGTTCTTGGACCTTAAACACCCAATCAAGCTTCTATCTTGTAAGTACACTTGCGCTAGCTACTTGTGTGCTTAGAATGAACTTGTTTACACTTAGAAAACATCAAGAAACATATGATCAATGGAGTTTACGGCCAAGGGATGTTCTTGGGCCGTAAACTCTTCTAAATGGGGTTAAATGAACCCTAGTCCCTTCCTAAGACTTCGATGCTAGTCTTGATCCTTCCTTGCAGTGTTTAGGACTTTAACAACAAAGAAACCATGTCCCCATAAGCATTTATGGCCGTAAACACATAAGGAAATGGTCCTTAGGTTGTAAACTCTACAAAGTGGTGATAATGTGCCCCTAATGCTTCCTAAGGCTTGGACTTGATCAATGGATGCTCAATCTTTACTTATAAGACCTCAAAACACCAACTGGAACTTAGTACCATGAGTTTACGGCCATAAACTCCTGGGTAAATGACCATGGACCGTAAATTCCATAAGGAGTGGTCCTTGGTCCATAAACTCCAATTCCATGCCATACAATCTTTAGATGCAACCCTCTGGTACCTATAACACTTGAATCAAAGTGTTTCCATGTCCTAGGGTGTTTTAAATTGGTTAATTAGTTGTTAAATGACTAATTAGATACATAAATGTTTCATTATATGTTAACTAGGATCATTGTGTGTGTTCAAGTCCTCACTTGACACTTAGCATCCTTTATCGATCCTACTATCGCATCACTTATTTCAGGTGAGTTCATACCCCTTAAACAACCTTTTAAATGCTTTTTCATGCTTTTAAATGCTTTTATGGGGGGATACAAGTTGAATATCATAGTTATTATATCAATCACATGTGATTAATAACTACCAAACAGATGGATTTACTATACTTTCAAACCGTCTTATCAAACAAACCACTTTTAAATCGTTTTATAAACTGACATTCAAGTCATTATTGTTTATTTTTTCAAACCCTTTAAATGTATTACAAAACCTATTTTCAACTTATGTATTGTTAAAAACCATATCTATACACTTATGTAGTAAGTGTGTGTGTGTGTATATATATATATATATATATATATATATATATATATATATATATATATATATATATATATATATATATATACGTATGTATTTGATAAGGTGGTTGTGACTTCAGCTCCAACACCTTGTTTAGAAAAGGTGTATAAACATACATGGACACTTCAAACTACATTACTAGTAAACTATAATATGTATAGTTTAGGAGATACTACTTACTATTCCCAGTACAATTGGAACATACAAGCGTCCGTTCATTCATGAGTCTATAGAAATGTAGTAGATACTATATGAAGAGATACTATTACATACTATATGAAGAGATATAATTACATACTATATGAAGAGATACTATTACATACTATATGATGAGATACTATTACATATTATATGAGTAGATACTATTATATACGTACGGGACTAACCATTCTACACCCAGCTGTTAGCTACAGAGGGACCATGCACATCGACGGATGTCTACGATTAATACTATTCGGCAAGTTACTTTGCCGTGTTTATCCTAGTACCAAAGGATAATATTTCAATGATTATATTATCTTCCCTTTTACTTTTATTTTGTGACACATTCACTTAAACGATGAGGTAGACTATGTAGAAGACTACATTTTATACTAGTAGGAAATTTGGGATTTTCTAGGGTTTTCATACTAATACAAAGTTTTTCATCAAACATTTGCAAGTCTTTTCCTTACAGTTTTATAAATCAAAGACACTAAAATACTTATGAATTCACCAGCTTAAATGCTGATCTATGCTTTCAAAATAACTTGTATTCTCAGGTCATCAGTAGACAGGTGCCGGTGGCAGGTTTTTGAGAAGACAGAGTACAGACAAGATTCGTCTTTTATTTTGATCATTCATTTTTGGTGTCTATTATATTACAAAGAACACACATGTATTAAAATTATATATTTAATGCAATGGATGATGCTTGTTTACTTGTTTGCTATTACTGTGTTTTGATACTATACGTGACGTCCTCCGCCCCAGAACGTTTCCGCCGTTCTCGGTTTTGGGGTGTGACAGATTGGTATCAGAGCATTGTTCATAGTGGATTGAGTATATCAACCCATAAAATATATAATAACTATAAACACAATAGGATTAAAACACTCTGACCAAGAGTTTATACTTTTAAATAATAAAATATTTAACTAAGTATACATACCTGCATTTATATTAAAATTAGTGTCACAATGACAAATACAAAAGTATTACGATTGTTGAATATCACAAGTAAGCTCGGGGATGTATGCTCAGTCCTAGGAGTGGCATAGCCTGATCAACTATGCTGGTTCGAGGAGTGATTAGGATATGCCCAAGAATGGTTGTGATATGGCAACACGTCTGAACACTTACCAACACTACTACAATGAGAACTTTAGAAAAAAACATAACTTAAAATACTATAGGAGTATTTCATGTTACTATAAATATCTTATTTAGTACGTCTGTTAAACTGATTCTTTTACCCCTACTTCTCGCGTAGATAACATGGCTGTATTTCATATCCCTGGAGACCCTTACTTCCCAATTCAGGGCAATGTTGGATCTCTGGATTGTAACGACGTAAATTTTAAACCAATTTTTTCATTTTTACAAACATCAAAAACATCGAGTAATAATTTAAGTTATAACGTAAACAATATTGTCTAGACCGATTACATAACAAAGATCACAAAATAGTTTTCCCCGAGTGTGTGTATGATCACGTCGCCGCCTTCCCACGGTCCTCGCTAGTACCTAAAACACATAACACAACAATGATAAGCATAAATGCTTAGTGAGTTCCCCAAAATACAACCTACGCACATTCGCCTTTCCAGGCCCTGACCTTCCGGTCCATGTGTCTCAAGGGACTTCCGTCCCGACTGGGTGAACCTTCCGGTCCTACCCACGTCAACCTTACGGTCCATTGTACAATGCCTTCCGGCCCATATCAAGCATATCATACATGTCACATATAAAGAATAACTTATCACACATAACACATATATCTCATA